CATCGTTATCTCCCTCTTCCTCTGTCTGTCTGTCTCTCTTTCTCTCTCTCTCTCTCACTCACTCTCTATCGCTCTTTCTCTCTCTCTCTCTCTCTGTCTCTCTCTCTCTCTCTCTCTCACAGCGCCGTCGCTGCAAGGCTGGCAGGGGAGTCATACCGTGCGAGCAGCCACCACGCCCCCCCATGGTTGGAGTGGTGGGGAGGGGCAGGGGACAAGCGTGCGCTCGCGTCATATCTGAAATCCTACCCCTCCCTCCCATCCCTTACCATGGCGCAGATCTCCTCTCTACTCGCACAGTCGGATGTCGAGCAGGGCAATGATCCCGAAAGGGTACGCGATGCATTGTAGAGCACGGCGTGGCATGGCGTAGAAGAGCACCGCAAAGCGTAGTATCAACCTAGCATTGCATTGCATGCCGTGGCATGGCACGGGAAATGACGCCAGCGCTGCAGCGGGAACAGGATTCGGAACGAGCGGAAGCGCGGAAATGAGGCCAGCGTTGCAGCGGGAGCGCGATTCGGCACGAGCTGAAGCGCGGAAATGAGGCCAGCGCTGCAGCGGGAACACGATTCGGAACGAGCGGAGGCCCGAAAATGAGGCCCGCGCCTCAGCGAGAGCAGCATTTTGAACAAAAGTGCAAGCGAAAACCCAACTCCCGGGAATCCTGAGTGTAAAAAAGCAGGACGCGGGGGGGGGGGGGGGGCGAACACTCCCAGCACGTCATCAGGGGAAGAGGGAGAGTAGTATTCATATTGAGTAATTGTGCAGCGCAGAGCGCTGAGTACGCATCGGCATGGGTCGTTCTCCTCTTGTTGCGCTGCCCAAGCTCGATCTGGGAGGCCGCAGCGTCTTCACCCTATCCGCCTCCTTGTCCTCCTCCCCTTCCTCCTCCTCCTGCTCCTCCTTCTTCTCCTCCTCCTCCTTCTCCTTCTCCTCCTCCTCCTTCTCCTCCTTCTCCTCCTCTGTCCTTCCTTCCCCCCCCACACCCGCGCCCTATCACTGATGCCCCTCCCCTCCCCCTCCTCCTTCTCCCCTCTCGCCTCGTCCGCGCGGAGCGTGCCGCAACGCTGCTCAAGAGCTCACGCTGAGCGTCAGCTGGATTCCGAGGGTTCCCCTGTCGCACAACTGGTCCGATCCGCTGCCCCCCCCCCTCCCCGTCCCTCCATTTCCTGCCTGCCAGACGGCCCCCCCCATCCCCCCCCCCCCATGCGGCCCCGCAGGCAGTGCCGGCCCGGGCCCGGTGCAGCGAGCGGCGCCGACGAGGCACCGACGGGGTGGGTGCAAGGTGGAAGGTAGAGGAATACGAAGAGGACCGGGCGGAGCTTGGACGGAGAGGCGCGGCCCCCTACTTGTCGCGCGTCCTCCAGGCACTCCATGCTGCGTTTCGCGCAGGTCGGCACCTGCCCGGCTCCCTGCACACCTCGTGCGCCGCTGCGCTCGCGCACCCCACGGCGGGCATGCCTCTTCCACCTGCGCCCGGCGTGTCGAGCACTCCACATGTCTTTCATTCACATCCACGGTGCTGGGCGACATTAGGCACTTAGCACCCTGGACTTTCACTCGCGACGGTGGTGCTGCTTCGCTGGCGGAGGAAAAGTGTGCGCGCACGCTTCGGAGCAGCCGAGGCCTGGCCGACAGCCCTTCCGCTGCTGTGCCGGACTGGACGCGGGAGCATCACGCGTCCGCGTTGGCACAAAGATTAGGTCGGGCCTGTCCCTCTACAGGAGGAATATTCCAAAATAGTCAAAACATAGTCTGGGGACTATTTTTAAAATTTGTTGAACATGTTGGAGTATGTTTGGGTATCTTTAATTTGTCGTCGAACATCCCCCTGTATGGGGGCAGGCCCGACTTAACACTAAGAATGAGTGTGGTTGGATTCCAGGACGTGGCCAACGACGACGTCAGGCATTGCGCATCCCACTTGTTGTCGCTCGTCCCTTCCACACCGGCAGCTACAAGGACTCTCCCGAGACCCAGGAGGGCGCGCAAGCTGACCCCGAGTACATACATCGGGCGGTCGGGCAACCCTGCAGTCAATCCGCATAGTACTGATGAGAGCGACTTGCCAAGGCTACCCTTGCATACGTGTCCCTTCGGCCAATCCTCGGTAACCTTCGCTGGCCAACCTCAGTTCGAAAAACACGAACATGGCCCACCAAGGTCCTTGCATCCTTGCGGCGCATCCTTACGATACGGGTGGGTTGCACCCGTCCGCCATCTTGAAGACCCATGCGACCCCCATGCACGAGCATTCTGACGGCCACCACCGCTCCCTCGCCAAGCCTGTGTCGGAGGTGTGCGACGCCGGGGGCGACTGCCAGAGGAGACGCCGCTCCTCGCCGAGCGCGGCACTCCAGCGTACGCGGCCACGACCTGCGGCGGCGCACGCCCGGCCTGCTGGCCTCCCACCCGGTCCGCCTGTCCCCGCCCGACATGGGGCGCGCCGTGATTGCTTCTGGGCGCCCGCCGCGCACGCGGGCGAGACTGTGGCGGCCCCGCCTGGCTGGACCCCTGCCTTGCCGAGGCCCGCGAGCTCGCCCCAGAGATCTCCAGCACCCCCGACGCCGTCCCGACCGAGAGCTCGGCCTCAGCCGCGATGTCTGGCGTGGTGTGGGGCGTGCGGCACACGGCGCGGGCCGCCAGGCCAGCAGCTGCTCACTGAGTGGGTCTGCAGCGGTCTCCCTTAACAGCGCCTGGAACAGCAAGGTCGAGGACTGGCGCAGCGAGGACCTCCAGGCCTTCCAGCAGTGACCTTTTGGGGGCGGCTCCTCCCCACCGAGTGGGGCCCGCAGCAAAGGGCCCTCGCGGGTTACCTCCTCCTCCTCCTCCTCCTGCCCCTCATCCTCCTCCTCCTCCTCCCCTCCTCCTCCTCCTCCTCCTTCTCCTCCTCCTCCTCCTCCTCCTCCTCCTCTTCCTCCTTGCCCCCAAGGTTCCCCCTGGTGGGGGGATGGCGGGGAGGCGGGGGCAACCCCGTGCCCGAAGCGGCACGCCCTGTCCAGCTCGTGCGGCAGCCCACTCGCGCCAGCGCGCGCGCGCGGTCGCCGGTCTCCTCGACGAGTGGGCGCTCGGCACACAGGCATGACGCGCAGCGACGTGGTCGGGCAGTGGTCTGCGCCGCCGCTCGGCCGAGCGCATCTGGCGCGGTTCCTGCCGCAGCAAGGGCGCGACTGGAAGGGGTCAGGGCCTCTTGGCCGACGTCCGTCGCAACCGGGAGCCCGCCGCCCCTCCACTTGCCGACAGCGCTGGGTGCAGCCCGCCCAGGCCGCGAAGGCAGCGACTGGCTGGACTCCGAGCAGCCGGATGGGGCCAGCCAGCTCTGGGCGGCGGAAGTCTGACGCCGCCGACCGCGGGGGAGGGTCGGCCGATGTTGGGACCGGGCTAGGAACCAGGACGAGGATAAATCCGTTCCAGAGCCTTCCGGAACGCTCCCAGAGCGTTCTGGGACGCTCTGAGAAGGCAGCGGCGCCCGAGGCATCCTCCAGAGCCGCCGGATCTCTGAGCTTCTCGATTCACCCTCACCCGATGTCACCCTCGACCCGGCGTCGTCTTAAATTAGACGTCGGCCCGCGCCTGGACTCCGAGCTGGCCGTCGACCACTCCAGCGGCCGCGAGCGCGCGACGGGGCAGGGCCGCGGGCTTCAGCGGCGGGCCTCGGTCGGACGACCGCCCGCGCCGCCGCGCGGGAAGGCAGCAGGGCGCCGACCCCGCCGAGAGCTGGCGGGCAGAGCGGCGCGCAGCCGGCAGCGGCGAGGAGCGGCAGGGCCAGGAGCTCCCGCCAGAGAGTGCGCAGCTCCGACGCGCCGTCCCCCTCCTCCTACTCCTCCTCCTCCTCCTCCTCCTCCTCCTCCTCCTCCTCCTCCTCCTCCTCCTCCTCCTCCTCCTCCTCTCTCCTCTCCTCCTCCTCCTCCTCCTCCTCCTCCCTCCTCCTCCTCCTCCTCCTCCTCCCTCCCTCCTCCTCCTCCCCTCCTGCTCCTCCTCCTCCTCCTCCTCCTCCTCCTCCTCCTCCTCCTGCTCCTGCCTGCGTCTGGCTCCCCCCACCACTCTCCGCAGTCCCGTCCTCTCCACACGGGAGGGCAGGCAGGGCCGCCGCGCCGGGCGAGGGTGCACGCGGTTCCTGCCACGCGCCCCACGCTGCACATGTGTTTCGACCGAGCGCCTCGCGGGGGCGCAGCTCATCACTCTTGACGTGCCGCGTAGTCCCACCAGCCCATTTGTCCAGAAACGAGGCCCGAACGAGTAGCCTGGATCGGGACAGCATAGAAGCAAACACACGTTCTGGATCAGCCCGGTCATACCCAGGGCGAGGACGAGGACGAGAACTTGGAGGAGGACGAGAAGTAGGAGGAACGGGAGGAGGAGGAGGAGGAAGAGGAGGAGGAGGAGGAGGAGGAGGAGGAGGAGGTGGAGGAGGAGGAGGAGGAGGAGGAGGAGGAGGAGGAGGAGTTGGGGGAGGAGGAGGAGGAGGAGGAGGAGGGAGGAGGAGGAGGAGGAGGAGGACGAGGACGAGGACGAGGACGAGGACGAGAAGGAGGAGGAGGAGGAGGAGGACGACGACGAAGAAGGGGAGGGGGACGACGAAGAGGAGGAGCAGGAGGAGGAGGAAGAGGAGCACGCAGACGCTGGCAGCTGTCTGGGAGTCTTCTGGAGGCCCTCTAAGGGTCCTCTTGGGGCTTTCTCGCGGCGCTGTTTGGAAGTGGAAGACATAACATTTCGTTTGGCCACATACGCTCAGAGGGTTGATGGGATTTGTGCTTCTCCTCCTCCTGCTTCTCCTCCTCCTCCGTCTCCTCTGTTCTCCCCTTCCTCCTCCGTCTTCTCCCCCTTGTCCTTCCTCATCACCCCCTTCCCTCCTTCATGTCCTCCTCCCATCCCTCCACTCCCTTCTTATCGCCCTTCTCGCCCTTCCCCCCCTCCTCGAACTCATGCAGGGGCAGTCCACTCGCTCGCTCACCGACTCCTTCACCTGCTCACCCCCGCCCGCCGCCGCCACGTCCTCTCGAGGCTGGTGTCCCGGTTTCTGCACCTGCCCAGCCGCAGTTTTTGGGGGTCCGCGCCGCGGCGGCGCGGCCCAGAGCGCCGCGAGGGGGCCGACCTTGGCCTCTCCACCGCCGGCGGCGGCCATGGCGGACTCGGGCGACCAGTTCGAGGCTGCGATGCTGAAGGCGCCGCCTCGCGGGGGGGGGGATGGAGAAAGCCAACCCCGGCGAAAGCCAACCCCCGGCGAAAGCCGACCCCGGCGAAAGCCAACCCCGGCGAAAGCCAACCCCGGCGAAACGAAGCCCGGCGAAACGAAGCCCGGCGAAATCCAACCCCGGCGAAAAGTATCCGTGCCAGCCTGCGGAGAGGGGAACTCAGACCTCCTCGGGCAGTGAACACAAATCATGGCGGGATGCTTTCCTGATCTTCGGCCACAGGGAGGCCTCTGCCGGGCCTCGGGACAGTCGACGGAAAACGAGTCAGGATGAAGAAGCCGGTCCCGGGGAGTGTGTCGAGACCCCTGAGGGTCGACGTTGTATAAAAAATATGACGTCGGGGATCTGGGGATGAAGAGAGGGGAAGAACGGGAGAGAGTTTTGTTGATAGCCTATGGGATGCGAAGTTGGACCCTGCCCCACTCCTGCCAAGATATATGGCTTGATCTTGCCAGCTCGGGCGAATCCAGGTATCGTTGCGTGAGCTCTTCTGTGCTTTGGGGCAGGTGGCATCGACACCCGCTTCCGCAGTGAGCCGAGCTGAAGGAGGAGAGGGAGCGGAATAGCTGCAGTAAGTTATCAGAGCGAGGGGGACCGAACGGTCCTACGCCGTCTCGAATGCGTGGCCGAAGCGGGGCTCCGCGGCGCGGATTCTCGTTGTTTGTTGGTTGAACTTTCACTTCTGAGGAACAGTTCCCCAATCAGTGCTTGCTTGCACTGAAGGGGTCCTGGCGAAAATTGAAAGATTCGGCGGAAGGTTCCCGCCGATTTTGGTAGCCGGCTGGGTTCCCGGGTTCCCGGTTCGGGGTTCCCGGGTTCCTGGTTATTCGTCGGGCCGATTTCGGTGGGTTCCGGGTTCCTGGGTTCCCAGTCGATCTCATTATCGATCTCAAACCATCCATGGATTTGGGTTTTTCCCTGGTGTGTTTATTGTATGGTTGGTTCCCCCCGTCCGGTGCCCGCTGTCTTGTTCCACTGGCGTGCCTCCCCGTGGCTCGCACCCCCGTTTGCTCATCGGCCTGAGCCCTTGGCCACTCGACCCGCCCGTTAGGCTCCGCCCGCCCGGCCCCCGCCCGTGAGGGCCCGCCCGACCCCGAGGAGGAGGAGGAGGAGGAGGAAGAGGAGGAGGAGGAGGAGGAGGAGGAGGAGGAGGAGGAGGTGGACGGAGGAGGAGGAGGTGGAGGAGGAGGAGGAGGAGGAGGAGGTGGAGGAGGAGGAGGAGGAGGAGGAGGAGGAGGAGGAGGAGGGGGAGCCGCCCGTTAGGGTCCGCCCGTTCGCTTGATTGGAAGCCCGCGCGCTCGCTTCAATGTCCTGGCCGCCCGACCCGCCCGTCAAGGTCCGCCCGCCCGAATCGCCTGTTGGGCCCGTCCGCCCGACCCGCCCGTCAGGGGCCGCCCGCCAACGTGCCCTTGCTTCTTTCCTCCCCCTCCTGCTGTGTCGGCTTCGTCCTGAGCTCTCCTTTCTCCCTTTTACTCGGCATCGCTCGGACGTGCGAGAAGCATTCTTGATCACTTGGCGAAAACACCACGCACGAAACCGAAAAAAACACAGGGAATGGACGTCCGAGCGATGGCCAGCTTACCCCCCTCCCTCTCGTTTCCTCATCCCTGCCTCGCCGTCTCCCTTTTTTTCCACTCTCCCCTCTCCTCCCATGTCATGGGCCGCGCCAGCTGCACTCGGCAGACAGGGAAGATATACCCCCCCAAAGGAGGCACGATCGATGGCGAAGAGGGCGGGTATCAAGGGCTACTCAGAACATACGTGGCGGGTGGCACGCCAACAACTGCGAGCGAACAGTTTCCAATTTATTGTGTGCTGTCACTGTCTTCGCCCGCGACCCGCACGCAACCCAACCGCGACCAGCCCGCGACCGGCCCGCGGCCTTCCCACGACGACCCGCCCGCGGACCCAACAGCGACCTGCCCGCGGCCCACCCAGACTGCCTTGACAGAGTCCGGTGCCAGCGGCGGGCCCTCGGCGTGAAAGGTGGTATCGCATGGGCGCCTGCGGCGGGCGTCTGCAACCTGTGCCGTCGAGGCCCCCGCCCCCTGGCTCTGATTCGCAGGTGCGGGGCTATGGTTTCTACGTGTATTGAAAGAGAGAGAGAGAGAGAGAGAGAGAGACGGAGAGGCAGCGCGGACAAAACAGTTTTCTGCCCACAGGCGGCGAGCGAGGGGGGGAGAAGTGAGAAGGAGAGGCCCTTCCCGGAAGGCGGCGGGACTCCTCAGAGGCCCTCGCGCCTTCTGAGAGGTTTCCGTTGTGTCTCTGGGGAAGGCTTAGAACACTTCTCAGAAGGCCGAGGGACTTCCGAACCTTCTGAGAGGTCAAGCAGTGGCGAAGCGTCCTGCCTTGCTTATAGCCCTACCAAACAATGTTCTAAGAACCTTTTGTCTTGCTGGAATCGTCTTGTTTCAACACGTCGGGTTCATGTTCTAAGAACATTGTTCTTGTTCTTAGAACAGTTGGGGATTCTAAGAACATGTCGTGGCAGGACTATAGAAATGCCGGGACGGTCGGCCCCTCCTCAAAGAAGGCCTTCTTCTCACTTCCCCCCCCTTGACGCTCGCCGCCGAGCCCAGCCGCCTGCGGCAAGTCCCGCCGCCGTGCCAGCCCAGCGCCCCGGGCGGCGAGTGTTGTTTGGGGGGGGCGCGCGGGAGGCCGTGGCGCTGGACGCCCCGTGCCCCGAGGCACGGGAGAGCCGTGACGTGTGACCGGCTCTCCGGCGTCGTGTCGTGGATTCTCCTCCTCCTCCTCCTCCTCCTCCTCCCTCCCTCCCTCCCTCCCTCCCTCCCTCCCTCCCTCACCCCCCCTCCCTCCCTCCCTCCCTCCCTCCCTCCTCCCTCCTCCCTCCTCCTCCTCCTCCTCCTCCTCCTCCTCCTCCACCTCCTCCTCCTCCTCCTCCTTTCTCATCTTCGTCGTCTGCGTCCTATCCTTTCTGTTGCTTCCATCGTACTCAAGGGCCACACCCCAGAAATCATGTCGAGCACCCGGAGAAGCAGCGAAAGAGAGTGTCGAAGCAGTATCGGTCGAGTGTCTCCCAGGGCCCGACACGTGAAAGCCCTAGAGTTTCGGTGCTTCTCTGATGCTCGACATTATTTCTGGTGCTCGAGGCTAAGGTAGGTTGGTACATCATAACCCTTCCTTCCTGTAGGCCCGTGTGGGGCAGCCTCAGGGGTTCCCCAAACAAAGGCCACTGCGGGCCGTGCTGGGGGCCTCCTTGGCCGCCTCCTGCCCTCTTCCTTGGCATCGCTCGGACGCGTGCGCTTTTTCCTCGGCGAGGACCATCGAGGAGCATTTTTGATCACTTGGCGAAAACCACGCACGGAACCGAAAAAAACACAGGGAACGGACGTCCGAGCGATGGCCCTCTTCTGGTGGTCTCTGGGGCCCTCCTGCGCCCCTCGCGGGGCCGCCCTGGGACCGCCGCGGGGGGGCCCCCGTCGAGGGGCCCTCGAGGGCCGCCGCGGGCCCCTCCCGATTACCAGCCTGGAACATATCCCTATCCCTGTGCTGGGCATCTCCTCCTCACGATGCCAATCTTAGGGATCCCCTTCTTTTTTGAGGGCGAATGCCTAAGATTGCCATCGCCTTTTGGCGTGTCAATCTTAGGGACAGGGACCAGCTCGAGGCTGGTAACCCCAGGCCCTCTCCCGCCGTGGTGGCCCCCGTGCTGCGGCCGGGCTCGGTGCCACGAGCGCCCGCGGGCGCGCGCGGCCCCGCGCTGCGCTGCGGCTCCGGGCGTCTCCTCCTCCAGAGAAAAGAGCCCGAGGCCCCAGCTGGGCCGGCTGGGGGGCTCTCTCGAGGCCGTCCTGGGCCGTGCATCCCCTCCTCGGCGCCTCGCTTCACACAGCACACGCTGCCGAAGGGAGCTCCGGCGAAGGCGTGCCGGCGGTACCCTTTTCATGCAGGCACGCTCCTCACACGCTGCACGGCCCAATCGGAGGCTCCATGGAGGGCCGCAGTGGGACAGAGCGCATGGCGGCGGTGCCTCCACTTCGAACACACACGCTGTCACACACACACACACACAACAAAAAAGCACACACAAACACACACACACACACACACACACACACACACGCCACACACACACACGCCCCACACACACACACAACGCACACAACACAACACACAACACACAACACACACCACACACAAACGCACACACATTTTGGCGATCGCGGCCTCGCCCGCAGCGTCGAGGCTAAGAACGTCAAGTGCAGCGGCGGGGACCCCGCGCGCGCCGGGCTCAAGGGAAGCAGCGCCATACACACAAACTCCTCACGCGTTTCGCAGCCAGCCCCATAGGGAGCTTTACCCAAGACCCCAGTGGCAGAGTCCGCACGTCGCCACTGCATAATTTCGGCGCACCCCTCACACGCTTCATGGCCCCGCAGGAAACCCATTGCAAAAATGTGCCACGGCGCACGTGGCGTCAGCGTCCCCCTGCAGCAAAGTATCTGTCACCGCGCAAGCGTTAGCGTCCACCTACGATACGTCACGGCGCACATGGCGTTAGCGTCCCCCCGCAATAAATGTGTCACGGCGCACGTGGCATTAGTGCCCCGTTGCCACGAATGCGACCCCCTGCAAAAATATGCCACAACACGCGTGGCGCCAGCGTTCCCCTGCAAATCACGTCTCACGGCGCACATGTCTCCGCGCCTAGCCATGTTGGTTAAAAGCGCTATTTCTCAAGCCCGCTTCATCTTTACTTAAGCCAAACAGGTTTGGCCAGTGTGTGACAGGAGGACCGTTCTCGATCTCGGCAGCAACGGCGAGCTTCATCATAAAGCCGCGATCTTTTTTGTCTTCCCCCCGACACTGAATAAGATCACGATCGTCAGCACAGCTTGCAATTTCTTGTTATGGAAGAGATGTTGGGATTCAGGGTGAGCCGTGTGCACAGGGCATTTGGACATAGAGCGAAAGCGGATCATATTGACGCATATTCCATTCGAAGGTGCATTCAGCAACGGCGCATATTGCCCGCGTCTTCGTTCGATAACTATTTAATCGCTTCGCTCATTCCGCTGGCCCGTATTGTGCCATCGCAGGCGTTTGCTTGCGCGTTCGTGGCATCTTGGGGCCTCTTGGGGGCTGTTTGGGGGCTTCTTGAGGCCTCTTTTTGGGGACTCTTAGGGGCCTCGTGGGGCCTCCAGTGGGCCTCCTGGGTTCTCTTGGGGTCCTCTTGGGGTCCTCCTGGGGGCCTCTTGGAGCGGAAGGCTCGAATTGGTGGTTCGTGTTTCCCCTCTTGGGGCCGTCTCGGCGCCCTCTTGGGCGATCTTGCGCGCCTCTGGGGCCGTTTCGGGGCCCTATTGGACCGTCTTGGGGCCTTCTCGGGGGCCTCTCGTGCAATCTTGGGGCGGTCTTGCTGTGGCCATCTTGGAGCGTCAGAAGCCCGAAAACGCGAGAGCGCGAAAAACATAGATAACCAGAAGGAAAATCAATGATTGTTGTTTCTTGCGGTCCTCTTTGGCGTCCTCTTGGAGCGCTCTTGGGGCTTCTTTGGGGCCGCTTGGGCCGTGTCGGGGCCATCTTGGGCGTCTTGGAGCGCTCTTGGGCCGTGATTCCGATTCGTGTGCGCCCCTGAAACTGCCTTGAGGTTCCTAGGGCCGCTCCTGGGGCGATCTGGAGGGCCCCGAAAACCGCCCCCGGAAGTTCCGGCATCCCTGAGCGGACCTTGCCAGGACCTTGCTGGGACCTTGCCGGGAGTCGGCTGGGATACTTTTCGTCTGGGGGGCCCAAGGGGCCGCCGCGCGCGCAAATTAGAATATATATATATATATATATATACACATACACGAAAATATCATGTGAACCACTTACCGGAGGTCTTAGCACGCCTTTGGCCCGTTGGGCCGGCGAATTTCTTACCTCACTCGTGCGTTTTTTTAATCAGCGTATCATGCTTGCAGCTTGTCAAGATTCAGTCCGCAAGCACGTGGAATCATTTTGGAGAGAGTGGCTCATAGAGTGTGGGGGGGATGTGTTTCCAGATTCAATCGTTAAAGATCCCTCACTTGGAGTGTGCATTGATGGGAGAAGAAGGGCACAGCATCAAGCTGAGAGTGATTGGATTAGCGATGGCATGCGCGTCCAGTGCAAGAGTGCTCAGCTGTGTGCTACACCTGATGGCAGATGGCGGTTTCATTTCCGCAATGTGAAGCTTCATTTGTCTAACGAACTAGTTTTGGTCGGGTACGCGCCAGAGTGTTTACTTGTCATGCTCCACGATTTCCAGCATGGTGTTGCCTCGGCTGGAAGTCAAGCAGTTCCGCTTGGGCATCATGTTATCTTGCAAAGCGCTTCTAAATCGGCTTGTTAGCGTGAAGGCATGGCTGATGTAATCAAACAAATAGGATATGGTGCGAACCGATGCCGCATGATCAGGACTTTGGATGCAGGGGATGACCGAATCCTCAAGGCAACTGTGGACTACGTGACGGAGTCAAGATGCACGTGCCACTTGAAGCATACAAGCACAACCCTTTCGTGCGCATGTCTCCATCGCTGCGCGGCTTGCGCATACAAGGTTTTGCCAGGAAGATTCAAGAGATGATCTATCCTGATAACAGTTTCAGCGATCCCCTCAGCAAGTCATCGTTCGACTGGCTACGAGATGGATTGCGCATCGAGAGTAAGCACACCTGGTTGGGATGGGTAAAGAGATATCAAAGTTGGAAATGTTGCTTCCAGGCAGTGAAGTTCAAAGAGTTCGACGAGCTCGTTTTGGCAATTGACAGCCCAAGCGGGCTGCACATGTTCAAGTATGCTGGACACCAATGGGTTTCAACGGCGGGAGTGAGCACCTCTTCAACGGGTCATTGTTTAAACGTGGAAGCCTCGCGTGGTGTGATGGATTTGGAAAGTGCGCTGGCCATCATCATTGCGAAGCTTGTCTCCTCAGGTTGCGAGTACCTTGCAGAGGTTCGCTACGGTGGGGGGGGGGCATGACTGAACACAAAATGCACCGCGCGCTCCTGCCAAACATGTGTCACAACGCACTTGGCATTAGGTCCCCTTGCAGAAGATGTGTTATGAAGGTTCAGCGCGCACCTCTCACATTTTCGTGGCCCCACCAGAGGCCCTAGTGGCAGCGCCCGCGTGCTGGGTAGCTCCATTGTGGCACACACACACACACCTCACACGTTCCGTTGCTCCACAGGGAGCTCTGCCCACGGCACCAGTGGGCACGCTCGCGTGGCACACCCCTAACGCGGACCATGCCCTGTAGAGAATTCGGTGCGCCTCTGCCCGTTTGCTCCGTAGCACCCCGTCCACATTGCCCCGTGGCGCGCTGTGTATGCAGACAGGGCTGCGCCCTGCGCTACGGGCAGCTGCATAGGGCGGGCCCTTCGCCAGGATACTTGGTCTCCTGGGCTGGCCCCCAGGGCCTCCAAGACGGCACACGAGGCCCCCAAAGAGAGCCCCCCCTGAAGTCCCCCTCGGAGCTAGCGAGGGTTCCGCAGTCTTTTTTATGGGCGTTTCTTGGAAGGCTCTCTGTGGGGGGACGTTGAAATCGTTTTGGGCGGGTGTGGCCACCTGGAGGCCCACGCAAGGGACGCCCGACGCGCCCAAGGAGCTGCGAGGGCGCTCCACGGAGTGCTGGAAGGCAAACTGGTGGACGACGGTGTGCAGGCAGCTGTCGTCGCTCGCCCGTAATCTCCGTGAGGTTGATTGCTTGCTTGCTCCTCCTTCCGTTCTCAGCATCCCCCCTCCATCGAAGGAGAAAAACGCCATAATAATAAGCTTGGCGCTCCGCGCGGATTTCTTGGATCCGCGCTGCGCTCCGCGCGCCGGAGAGGGGGGTCCAGCGCAGATCCGAGAAACCCGGGCTTAGCGCCAAAAGTTTATGCATATGTCGTTGCGATTCTTCTACTCCAAATGTTTAGCCACCGATGTCTTCCTGTCTAGCTTCAAGCAGGTTCGCCCTCGGGGCCACACGGCTCCTGCGGCCGTTCGGGGCACGGCACGGGCGAGAGTGAGGGCGGTTGCTGCCTCCTCTGCCGCTGCTCGCCGTATCTCTCAGGGCCAGGCCCGAGGAAACGAGCTTGTGGCGGAGTAGTGCCTATTTTCCTTGTGTTCCACACTGTCGTTTCTTGCGTTTCGTGCCGTCCGCCGCCCTCTGGTTTCTGCGCGTCGGACCGCCTGGGACTCAGGGCTTGGTCGTCGCTTGTGAGGGCGGCGGTGACAGCTAGATTACCCCCCTTGGTCCCGGGGTGAAAGTCTTTCAGCAAGACGGCTCGCAGACTGGTGCAGTGCCGAGTCCGACTAACCACCTCCTCTTCCTCCTCCTCCTTCTCCTCCTCCTCCTCCTCCTCCTCCTCCTCCTCCTCCTCCTCGTCCTCCCCGTCGAAAGGTGAAGGCCCACTTCGACCGCGAGGAGTACGACCGGGCCCTCCCGCTGTGCGCAAAGGCCCTGCAGAGCAAGCCGGACTCAGCCATGGTGCGCAGGCGCCCAGCCGTTGCTGTTGCTGCTGCTGCTGCTGCTGCTGCTGCTGCTGTTGCAGCAAGCCTGTCCCTCTACAGAAGGAAAATTCAGAAACATAGTCCAAAAATAGTTTGGGGACTATTTTCTGACTATTTTTGACATTTGGGAATATGTTTTGAGTGTTTTTGGTTTTTCGCCCCAAATCCCCCTGTAGGGGGCAGCGCCACGGGGAGGGGGGGGGGCATCGGCCCCGCGGGGGAGGGGCGCAGCGACCCCCCCATCGCCCAGTCGGCGCCGACGGGGGCCCGAGAGCCGCCCGCGCCGCCCAGGGACGCGCGGCCTCGCCATCGGGGGCCTGCCGCCGGTCTGTCGAGGATGCATCGCCGATTCCAGGTCGATGCTTTCCTCCCTGAGCTGCCCCCCCCCCCCTCTCCCCTATCGTTCTGCACGAGCGAAAGGGGCACGGAGAGAATGGGTACGATGCCCAGCAGCAGTTCCTGTTCAGCTTGCACAGGGCTCGCCGTCCGCGCCGCCGCGGCCGGTGTCCATTCGAGACAGAAGGCCGCCTGCCCAACAGAGCCCCACCAAACAATGTTCTGAGAACCTTTTGTGGCTTCCACGAAATGTTCTTCATTTCTGGCGGCGATTGTCTTGTTTTAACACTTCGGGCTTATGTTCTAAGAACACTGTTTTTGTTCTTAGAACATTTGTGGGTTCTAAGATGATTTCGTGGTATGACCATAGGAGTGCCAGGACGGTCGGTCCCTGCTCAAAACCTACACCAGCCTTGGTCACCAGAAAGAGTTCCGAGCACCAGAGAAGCACCCAGCATCTCCAGGGTTCTCACGTGTCGGGCCCTGGGAGACACTCGTCCGACACTGTTTCGACACTCGTTCGACACTCTGTCGACACTCTTCCGGGTGCTCGGAATGATTTCTGGGATGCGGTCCTTAAGTACGAGGCACCCGAGGAGGCGACACACATTGATTGTCCCCTGGTGTTTGAAAGAACTTGAGGTCCTCACCAGTTTGGGCTCCCGACCGCCCAGGACGGCCGAAGAGGCCTGCAATATAGTTTCAAGGCGGCCCATGCGGCCCACAAAGAGGGCCCCCAGTCGGCCAAATAGGACCCACGATCGCCCCAGAGCGTAGGAACCCAGAACAGCCCTGAAGCGCCACGTGTTGCGTGTTGCGTCCTTAAGTATACATGCGCTACGTGTTGCGTGTTGCGCATCGGGGCAGCCACGCGTCGGAGGTCCGAGGAGCTGGCGGCGAGGGCCGGGGCCCGCTCCCCGCCGCTGGGCGTCGCGAGGGCCGAGGGCCGCGGCGGGCCTCTCCGCCCCAGCTGGGGCCCCTGCCGTGGCCCTCCTCGGGCCGATCGACCAGCACGCACGGATACCCATAAGGGGGGACGGAGGAGGCTATGTGTGCGTGTTGTCGGATGGGGGTCCCCGCTCGAACGGGAGCGTTCCCCAGGGTCCGACAACCCGCACCCATACCCATAGCCAGTCCTCCTCCCAACGACCCCCCTATGGGTATGGGTGCGTGTTGTTCGTTCGTCATCCTCGGGCCTATCCGGCTCGGAGGAATCAGGAGGGGAACAAACACACAGACACAATTCATCGTCGATCCCCAGAAAATACAGGAAGATATGGGAAGTGGGGGGGGGGAGACGAAAACCCAGAACATATGGGAACGTATGGGGGATGCGGTTATTCGTGTGTATTTTCTTGTGCGTCCCTGGGCACCTTCAAGGAAGGGCGTGCCCCGCAGAAGACCCGCGGGCGGCGAGGGGGCAATGTCAGCACCACCGGGGCGGGCAGTCACGCAGTAGCATGCGCGTCGGCAGCGCGAGGGGAGGCGGCAGGAACGTGCCGTCATCGCGCGGCATGGGGCGGGCAAGGGGCCAGGAGCGCGCCCCCTCCCTGCATCGACCGACGTGCCCCTGGCGCTCGCTGCGGAACCGTGGAGGGAGGGGCCCCACGTCCTCTCTCTCTCTGGGGGGGCGGGACCGCGCTCCTGGCGGCGGAAGATTCATCGTGCTCCCCCCCTTGGCAGTGTGGCCCCCGGCCAGCTTTCCGGTGCTTGCTGCTTGATGATCAGGGGGGGGAAAATCACACACACAGACACGAACAATCGTCGATCCCCCAGAAAATATGGGAAAATATGGGAAGCGGGGAGGAAAACAAAAACACAGGAATTACTCCGACGGTAGGACCCCACATGAGAATCTGTTTAGATTACCCTTTGCCCTTTCCTTCTCCCCCTGGCGGACACCCTCTCCTCTCGCCCCCTGCACTGCCCTCTCTTCCCCCTTCTATTTCTCTTCCTCCTCCTCTTCCTCCTCCTCCTCCTCCTCCTCCTCCTTCTCCTCCTCCTCCTCCTCCTCCTCCTCCTCCTCCTCCTCCTCCTCCTCTCGCGCCACCTGCTCCTCGTCGTCGGCCTCCCCCATGCCCCTTCCCTCCTCATCCCCCTGCCTTTTCTCCATGTGCACCTCCCCTCCCCCCTCATCGGGGCAAGCAAATACATTTTCCTCAGCGCCGTCGCCGCCTCGGCCAGCGCGCGCGCGTCTGCCGACGGCTAGATCGCGAAGCCGTCGGGACAAACCTTCGGGCTGGGCCGTAGGCTCCCGTTCGAGACTTCCTCCATATTCAGGTCTCAGGAGCCCAAAAGTGACGACAGTTGCACGTTGCGGATGACCCGCTCGGATTCGAACATGAAGTGCGGTAGGGAGGGGGCTCCCGCCTGAGACTTCCTCACAATTCACTCACAGACGAGGCTCCCGCTCGAGACTTCCTCCATATTCAGGTCTCAAGAGCCCAAAAGTGACGACAGGTGCATGTTGCGGATGACCCGCTCGGATTCGAATATGAAGTGCGGGCCCCATACGGAGGGCTCCCGCCTGAGGCTTCCTCGCAATTCGCTCACAGACGAGGCTCCCGCGTGATACTTCCTCCATATTCAGGCTTCAAGAGCCCAAAAGTGACGACAGTTACACGTTGCGGATGACCCGCTCGGATTCGAACATGAAGTGCGGGCCCCATAGGGAGGGGGCTCCCGCCTGAGGCTTCCTCACAATTCACTCACAGACGAAGCTCCCGCTCGAGACTTCCTCCATATTCAGGTCTCAAGAGCCCCAAAGTGACGACAGGTGCACGTTGCGGATGACCCGCTCGGATTCGAACATTGAAGCGCGGGCCCCATAGGGAGGGGGCTCCCGCCTGAGACTTCCTCATTATTCACTCACAGACGAGGCTCCCGCGTGATACTTCCTCCATGTTCAGGCCTCAAGAGCCCCAAAGTGACGACAGTTACACGTTGCGGATGACCTGCTCGGATTCGAACATGAAGTGCGGGCCCCATAGGGAGGGGGCTCCCGCCTGAGGCTTCCTCGCAATTCACTCACAGACGAGGCTCCCGCTCGACACTTCCTCCATATTCAGGTCTCAAGAGTCCAAAAGTGACGACAGGCGCACGTTGCGGATGACCCGCTCGGATTCGATCATGAAGTGCGGGCCCCATAGGGAGGGGGCTCCCGCCTGAGACTTCTTCACAATTCACTCACAGACGAGGCTCCCGCTCGAGACTTCCTCCATATTCAGGTCTCAAGAGCCCAGAAGTGACGACAGGTGCACGTTGCGGATGACCCGCTCGGATTCAAACATTGAATGCGGGCCCCATAGGGAGGGGGCTCCCACTTGAGACTTCCTCACAATTTACTCACAGACGAGGCTCCCGCCTGATACTTTCTCCATATTCAGGCCTCAAAAGCCCAAAAGTGACGACAGTTACACGTTGCGGATGACCCGCTCGGATTCGAACATGAAGTGCGGGCCCCATAAGGAGGGGGCTCCCGCCTGAGGCTTCCTCGCAATTCACTCACAGACGAGGCTCCCGCTTGAGACTTCCTTCATATTCAGGTTTCAAGAGCCCAAAAGTGACGACAGGTGCACGTTGCGGATGACCCGCTCGGATTCGATCATGAAGTGCGGGCCCCATAGGGAGGGGGCTCCCGCCTGAGACTTCTTTACAATTCACTCACAGACGAGGCTCCGCCTGAGACTTCCTCCAGGTGAGTATGTGAATGAGTGAGCGTGTGACAGAGTGCGAGTGATGATGATGGTGATGATGATGATGATGATGATGGTGCTGATGATGATGATGATGAGTATGTGAGTGGCTGAGCGTGTGAGAGAGCGCGAGTGATGATGCTGATGTTGATGTTGATGATGAGAGAGTGTGAGTGAGTGTGAGTGCGAGTGAGTGGTGAGGATGATGAGTGAGTGAGTGAGTGTGCGAAGGCAGAAGAGGAGAGGGGGTGGGGTGAGTGTTCCTGCGCGGGGTGTGCAGAGAAAACAAGAACCCCGCTTTGGATGTGGGGAAATACATGAAGATATTGGGGATATTTTTATTTGTACGTATTTATTTGTGTGTCCCAGGGCCCCTTCACATGATTCGCGTGGTTTCGAGAGGCGCGGCTCCGCTCAAGCATGTATGATCCCTGGCCCCAGAGGTTTTTGCCATGCTTGTCGGGCTCACTGCCGAGTACCCGTCATGCTGGCGAAGGTAAGTACGGTTTGGCGCCTCGCGGGCCGGGCCGGAGAGAGCCCCTCTTCTCCCAGCTGGGGCGGCCCCGTGGCGCGGGGGGCTGGCCCCGCTGGGAGGCCGGTGCACAGGGGGCGGCCCCAGGGCGCGCAGGGGCCGCCCCCGCCCCAAGTGGGCGGCCCCGGGGGCGCGTGGACGGTCGCGCCTCGCGCCCGCGCGAGGCCACGGGGGTCGACTGTGGGCGCCCTGGACAAAGGCGCCCGGCCGTGGCGGCCCCCGTGCGCCGCGGCCGCTCTTTCACGGCGCCGACGTGCCCCGAGGGCCCCTTGGGGACCCAGCGGCGTCAGCGGCGAAGGCGGCAACGGCTTCGGCGCCGGCGGTGGCGGCAGGTGCAGGGTCTTCGCGCTGCTGAGCCTGTCCAAGTGGGCGGAGGCCCTGCAGGCCTGCGAGGGCTATGCCACGCGGGAGGAAGCCCTCCCCTCCCCTTTTCCCCCCCTCTCGGTGGGCAGGGGAGATATTGTCGACCCTCGCAGTAAGGCTGAGCAGGTTTCCAAGGTTACCCTTGCATCCTTTTTCTTCGGCCCATCCTTGGCCGCTTTCGCTGGCCGCGCCCCGCGCGCAGAATGACGACATGGCCTTCCAAGGCCCTTGCTTGTAAGACGGATCAGACGCCAAGCATCACGGTAACCTGACCCAAGCGCCTAGGCATCAGACCCCCGGAGAGGCAATCCAAATGAGTACTCACGGCGTTTCCTCGTGAGCCCAGCCGAGCTACATTGACTGGCGAAGCCACGAAGCTGATCTGAGAGAACTGGGGAGGAGGGACAGGACGGAGGAGGAGGAGGAGGAGGAGGAGGAGGAGGGAGGAGGAGGAGGAGGAGGAGGAGGAGGAGGAGGGGAGGAGGAGGAGGAGGAGGGCCGAGAGCCCCAGGGCCTGGCCCAGAACCGCGAGCGGCATCGAGCGTCGAGGAGGAGGAGGGGGAGGGATGGCGGCCAGGCTCGCCTCGAAATGCTGGTCGGAATGCGCCCCGGGTCGGGTCCACCGCGCGGAGGGGCGCCCTTCCTCGCCCCCTCGCCTCGGGAGGGGCAGGGGTGAGGGGGAGGAGAAGCGGGGTGCAGGAGGAGGAGGAGGACGAAGAGGAGGAGGAGAAGGAGGAGGAGGAGGAAGAAGTGGATTTGTCTGTATGCCTCGATGGGACAGAGCGACGATTGAGTTGACGGACTCGCTAGCTTTCCCCTCACCAGTGCTCGCCCTTGGCCCTCGAGGGTTCGCACTCTTCTCCCCCACAGCAGTGCTTCCTTCCACTTAGGGTATCCCATGCTTCCTTGCACAAGGAGCTGGATGGGTGTGTCGGGGATTCGGATGGTTCCCAGTTGGCGGGCGCCCGTGGGCGCCGCGCTGTGTGTGTGTGTGTGTCACCTATCCGCCATCCGCTCCTGGATGGTGATGCCCCTCCTCCACGCTCTCGCGCCTCGTCCCCGCTTGGGTAGTCCAGCTTCGGGCGGCGTGTCACCTCTCCGCCACCAGCGCCAGGATGGTTTGCTGCTGCGGGCACGCATGAGATTTGAAGCGATGCGCCTGAGGGCCGGGCTACGCACGCACCAGCTCCGACCTATCTCCGCCTCGACGCTTCGCGCGAGGCCGCGACCGCCAACAAGTGTGTGTGTGTATGTGTGGTGTGTATGAGTGGTGTGTTTGGCGTCTGTAGTGTGTGTGTGTGTGTGTGTTGTATGTGCTGTTTTTTGTGTTTGTGTGTTTGAGCGTATGTGTATAGCTGTGTTTGCGTGTGTGTGTGTGTGTGTGTGTGTGTCTGTGTCTGTGTCTGTGTCTGTGTCTGTCTGTGTCTGTGTCTGTGTCTGTGTCTGTGTCTGTGTGTGCGTGGGTGTGTGGTGTGTGTCGGTGTGGGTGGGTAAGTGGGTGGCTGTGGGTGGGTGGGTGGCGGGGAGTGTGTGTGTGTGTGGTGTTTGTGTGTGCTGAGCGTGCAGTGCTACTTGTGCTTGTGAGTATGAGTGTGTATGTACATATGTGTTTGCGTGTGTGTGTGTGTGTCAGTGTGTCGGTGTGGGTGGGTGCGCGGGTGGGTGTGGGTGGTTGGGCGATGGGAGAGGGGGTGAGTGTTTGTGTGTGTGTGTTTGTGTGTGTGTCGGTTTCGGCTGGTGCCCGCCCGTGGGCGCCTCGTGGGCGCCCCGCGCTGCGGGCATGGTCAGGTGTCAGGGTTTCGCCCGCCCGTGGACGCCTGGGCGCCCCGATGGCCTGCACCACGCAGCTTGGACCACGTAGCTTACACAACATAGCTTACACCACACAGGTTGTACCACATAGCCATCACGTAGATTGCGCCACCTAGCGTGGACCACGTTGCTTGCACAACGCAGATGGCACCACGCAGCTTGCACCACATAGTTTGCACCACATCGCCATGTTGGCTCAAGGGATCGTCTCGTCGTCGGCGCGTTGCGGGATGCCTAGACCTCGAGGGGCTGCCTCTGCCTACGGCGTGTCCCTCGTGAAGGCTGCCGTCCCCGCCGCGGTCTTCGCGCGCGCTCCACGGCGCGCGGTTGCCGCCGTCGCCCGCTCTGCTGTCTCCGCCGCCCTCTTCGCGGGCGCGGAGGAGGCGGTGCCGGGGCAGACGGGCGACACCGCGCCTGCTGATGGAGCTCTTGGGGTATTGGCTGCTGCTACGCCCGCTGCTTCGGCGGCAAGGGTTGAGCGGCGGCGACGCCGCCGCCAGCGCCTCGCGGCGCGACATCGTGACGATGCGGAGGCGCTTCCCTCTGTGGCGGATGTTGGCGCTGGGGTTGCTGCCAGCGGGCCGCCCGCGGGCCTGACACTCGCGTGCGTGGCCACGGCCGACGAGCTGGCGGACCTCGACTGGGCGGACAGGCTGCAACGCGAGGCTAGCGGTCGTGGGGCCGGCGTGGCGGCAGCTGCGGCGCGGGCGCCTCCTACTCGTGAGTCGCCCAGATCTTCGCTCGGCGGTGAGGGGGGGGGGGCGCCGTGGGCGCTGCAAGCCCGAGGACGTGGCGGCGGTCGGGGACCGCGCGGGCGTCAAGGGGGTGCGGGCGGCCAGGGCCAGCGGCCGCACGCCCCAGCGTAGGGGGCAGCGAAGAATCATCCCGGCGCGAGCAGTCTGCGGGCGTGGCGCCCGCGTTTGCCCGAGGGCCTGCGGGCGGACCTGAGGGCCTTCCTGAGCTGTGGCTCCTGAGGGAGCGCAGTGCTTTACAATGGGCGGAGTGCACTGCTCTGTGGAAATATGGAAACGAAACAACAGCTTGCACCACATAGCTTGCACCACACAGCTCGGGCCACGCAGATTGCACTGCACAGCGTGCGCCACATAGCTTGCACCATATAGCTTCCACCGCATGGTTGCACAGTTAACTTGCACGTCCACAGTGCTACCTGACGTCATTCTATGGGTGCTGGGGTTAATTACGGCTGTTGCCCGGCTAGCGGGCGCCAGTGGGCGCCTCGAGGGCCCCCCGCACAGGTGGGGTATGCCGAGATTTCGCTTGGTGCCCGCCCGTGGGCGCCTCGTGGGCGCCAGCGGCTTGGGGGGTATGCGGGGGTTCCGCCTCGCGCCCGCCCGCGCGCGCCTCATGGGCGCCAGCGGCCAGAGGGGTATCAGTGTCGAGGCTTCGCCCGGCGGTCGACCGCGAGCGCCTCGTGGGCGCCCCGCGCTGTGGGCACATACCGAGGTATCGCCCCGTGCCCGACCGCGCGCCTCGTGGGCGCCTCGCGGGCGCCCCACGTTTTTTTTGTTTGGGGGTGTCGGCCGAGGTTTCGTCTCGCGCCCGCGCGTGGGCGCGCCCCGCGCTGGGGGGGGCAGTGCGCCGAGGTTTCGCCTGGTGCCCGCCCGCGGGCGCCTCGCGGGCGTCCCGATAGCCTGCACCGCCCAGCTTTGCACCGCCCAGCTTGCACCACATAGCTTGCGCGACATAGTTTGCGCCACGCTGAGTGCACCACATAGCTTGCACCACATAGCTCGCGCAATAGAGTTTACACCACGTGGGTGCACGACATAGCTTGCACATCCACGCCCCCGTGTGTCAACACGATGGGGGTCATCGTTCCTGCCCGACGTGTGCGGCCATTTGGGCTCAGGCGCTCGGCCGCTTCTGAATAACAGGTGGGCGTTGCAGCTGGCCCTTGGGCCAGCGCCTTCGACCCCGCGCAACACCAGGGCGAGAAGCTCAGCTTCCCTAGCGCATTCCATGTCGTCGCGCGAGAGGAAGGCGGATGGACCCGAGGCGGCGGAACGTGGAGGAGGGCCGAACGTGCGGGGCAGCGCTCTGTACGACCCTCCGAGACGGGAGCCAGGCCGCCAGGGAGAGGGCTGTGGAGAAGGGCCGCGGGCGCGGGCCAGCGTTTGACACGACCCTCTGGGACGGAGCCATGTTGAACCCCCTGTGGCGGCCGCCAGGCTGGTGGAGTTTCCATTTCGCCGAGCTCGCAATCTGGCGAAGAGGGTGGACAAGAGGCCCAGCAAGGACGCGTGACCTCGAATATCACACCCGCGAAGAGTTTGACGCCCTTGGTCCTAGAGGCCGGCGGCAAGCTCAAGTTCGTGGATGGCCACTTGGTCGTAGCCACTCTGGTGACGTGCCATTTCTGTTAGGGAAGCACGGTTTCGCTCTTCGTCTTGGCTTTCGAGGATGGTGAGACTTCATGTTTTCAGAGCATCAGTGCTGTCGTCGCGCGCGAGTAAGGCACCAATGCCATGGGCTGCGAGTGCCAGAGGACGCTCGCCAACATAACCCCCGATTCCTTACGCAAGTGCTTCAGGCTCCACGGGGACAAGCAGCACGGTGACAAGGACTAATGGCCCAGGCCGGGGACACACATCGTGACGTCTGAATGGTGCAAGTCGAGGGAGAAGCAATAGAAGCACTCTCCGCTGCCGCAGGCCAGGTCCATCGAGTACGCCATAGCGGCGGACATTCAGAACAACAAGAACGGCTCTGACGGCCCTGCAACACCCAACGTCGGGCTAAAGGATATCTATGAGGCTGTCCTGAAGGACGAGCGGCTGGGACTTGCGGCAGGCTTCACCATCGCTTCGTGTGCCCGCATTGCAAGACGGCCCCCCTCAGGCCGAGGAGTGTGCGCGGTGCCGAGGCGGGTAGACGAGCCAGGTGGTGCCGCAGCTTGTGGAGGTCACTGGAGGTGCGTGAGCAAGAAGTGCGGACGCAGGTGGCTAGAGCCGGGCAAGGGCAAGGACGCGTCGGAGCATCGCGTCGTCATCTGCCCGTCGCGCTCCATCTCTGTGCAAGGCGGCATGGAGATGGCCGGCGATGAAGCGCGATGCAGATCGAACGGTCCGAGGAACGCAGCCCAGAAGACCAGGAGGAGATGATCTGCTTTGGGCGGGGGACCTCATATCAGGAGGACACCTTTGCGATTTTGGGGAGGGTCAAGCTGGCGCCGGTCATCGGCGACGTGAGGGGGAGCAGGATCAAGTTGGACAGGTTGCTTGATGAGTAGTTATGGCATGGCAATGGATGCCATGGATTCCAGCAGCGAGGAGGTTCACGATCAGCTCGTCAAGCACCCACGTTCTCCCAGGAACGGACCACGAAGGACATGCTCGGGAACGTGCAGGTCCTCGCCTACTGCGAGGACGGCCACCTCTCTCAGGACAAGTTCACGGGCAATTGCAGCGCCGTCCCTCACACCAGGCGCGGTGGGCGAAGCAGAGCAGCACGGCGGACGTCCCCTCGCGACTTCGGCGTCGGATGGCCAGTTCTGGTCACCAAGGCTATGAACAAGAAGACAGTCCCAGGGATTGTTTCGCCCGCGCGTTTTGATGAATCACGGCGTCGGAAGTTTCAGCGACAGAGAAATTGGGGGGGAAAGAAAAAACAACAGAAGCCGCCTCCACCATTCGTGCGCCGTTGCCCCATCTTCCTTTCTCATCAGCGCATTGTTCCTCCTTCTCCCCCAAGCGCCCCCCCCTCTTCTTCATATCCACCTCATCCATTCCCCCTGCTCATCCACCTCCGCTTCTTCATCCTCCCTTCCTCCCCGGACACCTCGGAGGAGAAACGCGCAGATGGGCAGGTGCCAGGGGAGGAGGAAGAGGAGGAGGAGGAGGAGGAGGAGGAGGAGGAGGAGGAGGAGGAGGAGGAGGAGGAGGGGGAGGAGGAGGAAGAGGAGGAGAACGAGGAGGAGGAAGGAGGGAGGAGGAGGAGAGGAGGAGGAGGAAAAGGAGGAAAAGGAGGAAAAGGAGGATAAGGGAACAGCAGCAGTAACTTTCTCTTTATCACATTTGTCCTCCCTTCCCTTTGCTCCTCTCGCCTCCCATTCCCCCCCCCCTTCCTCTTGGACAGCGCAGGAGGCCTTCGGGTTCGAGCGGGCCTACTGCCTGTACCGCTTGAACCGCTTCCAAGACGCGCTGGCGGCCATCGACAAGGGCAAGTCGACCGGCGAGGATGACCACGACGACGGCCACGACCACGACGGCGACCACGACCATCAAAACGACGACGACGACGACGCCGCCGCAGACGACGCTGGGGGAGGACGACGATCACGACGAAAACGACTGGAGAGGACGAGGACGACGACAACGATCACGACAAAAACGACAGGAGAGGACGAGGACGATGGCGGCGGCAACGCCGACGACGACGACGACGGACGACGACGATAGCCACGCCCACGACCACGACGACAATGGCGATCACGACGATCAAGATGACGAGGGCGACGACGACGACGACGACCACGACCGCAAAGACGACGACGACGACGACGACGACGGTGGCGACGACGTGGGGCGAGGACGAGAGCACCCTGAAGCGCCTGGAGGCCCAGGTGCGGTACCGCATGGGCGAGTACGAGAACTGCGCGAGGACGCCCGCCGGGGACCTTCCAGCCGACGGCGGCGGCCCTTCGGAGGCACCCCCGAAGGCCCTCGGAGCCAAAGCTCCAGCTCTGCGCGTTGTGTGCAGTCCCGTTCGGCTTTCGGCCACCCGGGGCCCCCGTCTGCCTCTGGCGGCGCGAGGGCCGGCGCAGCGCCAAGGCGCGAGCACGCGAACATGCAAACAAACATAGCACGTGCGGAAAACATTGTGAAATTGCAGACCGTCCTAGGACAAGTAATCATGCGAACAAGAAAAGTGCAGCCTGAAGAAAAGCAATGTGCGATCCAGGACGAGGGGCTGCCCCTAGCAGCGGGCCAGGCCCTCGAAAGAACATGAACCAGCATAGAGGAGGGCCCAGCCATATGCAGTTGTGAGTGGCCTCTTCGGTGAAACTCCCGGTGGAGCTTCGAAACGCGTGAGGGGTGCGCCTAAATGAGCCCGGGTGCGCCTACGCTTCTGGGCGAGCCCGTCCTGAATCTTGACGGTCCGATTTTGTTCGTGGGATGTCTGCAGCTGGGGCCTGCGTCAAGTCGCGTCGTTTTCGTGATGGCCCCGTCGGGCCAGCCCGAGTCCCCCTAGCCCGAGTCTTCCGTCTTCCCGAGATGAGATCACGTCGGCGGATGCCTGGGGCAGCAGATCATGGGCTCGCCCCCCTGTCGGGATCCCTCCCCCCTTTTCGGGGCCGCCGTGGCCCCGCGGGCGGCGCGGCGTTTCACCCTGGCCCGAGGATGTACGAGGGGCTGTACGAGGAGGACCCCGACGAGCCCGGCCTGCTCGTCAACGCGGTCGCCTCGCGCGTCTCGGGGGACCAGCCGCAGCAGGCGCTGCGGATGATGGCGCAGATGGAGGACCACCTCGAGACGTCGCGCGCCGAGCGCCCGCCGATGGCACGAACGGCCGATCCCGGTGCCGATCGCGTGGCGGGAGGCCGATACCGATGCCGATGCTGATCGCGCGGCCGATCACGATACCGATCCCGGGCCTCGGGCGTGAGGCCGCCGATGGCGCGGGTCACAGGTGGCGCGGCGGGATCTGTTCCCTCCTCCTCTGCCTGATGCTGATGCTGATGCGCCTCCTCCTCCTCGTCCCCCCCGCGCTTCCGCAGCCGCCCCGCCTCGATGCTGGAACGGCGGGGCCTCGGCTGCCTCAGCTTGGTGGAAAGGCCTGCAGGGCGCCAGCTCGTCGCCCCAGGATCCCCATTCGGCTCACGATCCGCGTGGCGAGCCGCCCTGTCTATCGCGGGCCACCCGTAGACGAACGAGCAGTACGCACCCATACCCATAGGGGGCCGAAGGGAGGAGGGCGCTCTAGGGGTGATGGGTGCGGGTTGGCGCACCCTTGGGGACGGCTTCCGCTCGAGCGGGGGGCTCCCTTCGACAACGCGCAACCACAGCTCGCTCCCCCCCCCTTGTGGGTATGTGTGTGTGCTGTTCGTACCGGGACTTCGCCTCCAGCTCCTGTCCAAGGCGTTCCTTTTCCTGTGCAAGCTCTTCGGCACCGCCTGCACCCCGCGCCCTCCGGCCGCCTGAGGCCCCGCCCGCCCGCGCCCTGTCTCCCCAATTAGTGCTTTACGCGGCCCGCCTAGCTCTTAACCGGAAGAGGCCCGCTCTCGACCCGCAGACCAAAAAGTGTGCTGTTCGCTCGCCACCCTTGGTCCTCACACTCACGAGCAAGCCTTGCGTGGCGCCAAGACGAGAGTTCTCTTTTCGAAACGACCCGCCCTCCATCCAGTCGTGTAGTTGATGGGCGTGGAAAGCTTTCAGACGAATGTGCGCGGCAGTCAGGCGAGAGCGCAATGCTTTCAACGACTTTCCCTCCATCTTGGCAACTGCTGCGAATTCTCAAGCTTCAGGACTATATCCAGCTGCCTCCAGCAATTCCGCCACCGTGCCAGCGCAGCATTCTGGGTGGCAACTACCTGAGGCAAGGGGTCCTGGTGGGGACCTCTTGGGGAGGAAGACTCGAATTCTTGGTTCGTGTTTCTACTCATGGGCAGTTTTTTAGGGGCCATCTTGGGGCCCTCGTAGGCAGTCCTGGGCGCCGCTTGGGCCGTCTTGGAGCCCTCGTGGTCTGTTTTGGAGCTCCCTCGGGGGCCTCCGGAGCCGTCTTATGAAATTTTTGGCGGCCTTTTGTGCTGCCTTGGAGCGTCGGAAACTCGAACATGCGAGAACCCCACGACGCTTCAGGACGAAGCACATGTAATTATGTACATTTCAATGTGTGCACAGACATGTGCATACACGTGTGCATACATATATATCTATATGCACAAACTTTCATAGTCAAGTAGACGCACAATTATACATGCATACATACATGCACGCATACATGCATACCTACATACGTACACGTGACCATCTAAATTCATACATGCATACATACATGCGTACATGTATGCATACAAACATACGTGCGTGCATGCATACCTATACGCATACATACACACATACATACATTTAT